TTTGATAAATCTGCCGTCAATGAGTGGTGGCGACTTCAAAGCTGGATGGAGCGGAGTTCCAGTGAAGGCGAATATCCAAATGACCCCAAAAATAAGTATCAACAACACAACTCCTGTCAGAATTAATCGACTTCTGTACTTTTGAACGAATGTTAATTTCACAGTTTCTAATTCTTCATATGATAACGTCGTCTTTTCTGTACTGGTTTCGTTGTGCGACATCGTTTCACTCGAATGCTTAATCTTCTGTTTTGTTTTACTACCGTTTTATTATGCGTCGTTTCCTTTGAATGGGCTGTCTAGAATGAGTTATTAATTCAATGACTATGAAAATGACTTAATTTCTAAAAATAGTATTGTCATGTGAAATGTCAGCCAGGCTTGAACAATACTTTATTACAATTTTAAGTAGTAATAATCCTTATCGACAATTGACCTTTACTTAACAAAGGACTATAAGAACATACTTGGTTGAAACATTGCTTGACCATTTACCTTCCAAAAATCCGTTTTGCGACACTATCATCTAAAAATGGTGGTGAAATGTCGATATCGCTATGAGCCATGAGCCACACCTTTGTTTCAGTTACCGTATTCACAAACTTGTTTTACCGTTGCCAATTAACCAAACATAAATCTTGACATTTGAATGACACAACCGCCAAAAGCAATTCGGTTCAAGCATTAGTGTGTCAATTTGTTGCAAGGTACTTGAAGCATACCCGATGTATAACGTTTATGCGGCATTAAATTATTGTGTTTACCCCTACAAAATATTATGAAGGACCCAATTTTCGTTAACCAGATATGGGCCATTCCATAATATATAACGAATTTCACATTTTCCTCCTTGAACGCAATTTTTTTCACCAGATTTTTTTAATTTTTTGGACATGATCAGAATGTAAACTCCACATTAAATATTGTAAATTCGTCAAAAGTGTTTGATATGAAGGGTAGTATAGGCCAACATCATTTGCAAAAACACACAGTAAAACAACTGATATATTTGCGTTTCTTTCTTTATTTTTTTTTTTATATTTTTATGTTTATTACATTTGTAAATTAAACTCTAATCAACAGCTGATTAATTTAGTGACAATGAGGTGAATCAGCCGATATAATTCAGAAAACTTGAACCAAAAAAAAGCATTTTGATTTGCAAATATGCTTTTGAAAGGAAAGAGAGATAGAGTATAAAGCATATACAATGGATGCCAGAATCATTCCAAGTTCGTTTTCTCTTCGAATGATTCGTTTCAACGTTCAATTTTCAGGATGAATTGATTTGAGATTGAAGCTATGGTATTTCTTTTAATATCATTATTATCTATTTGTTTTTCTCGACCGTTGAAATTATTTCCTTTAATATATTTTGATGAGTTATTCTTTTAATGTAATTACATTTTTTTAATTTCTAAAATGAAACGTTCATTTTTCTAATCGTTCAATACTTAACTTATTATTTACAGTGAAATCTTTTATATTAATTAGATTTTGGAGGGTGTTTTCCATCTCCTTTTGTTTTCATTTCTTGCTGACTTAGGTAGAGATTTACCGACAGTGAATCTTACAATTGACGATTGCTGTGTCAAAATTGGTTAGTGCTTAATGCTCTTAATTAATTAGCTATTGATCGCTTCCGTGAAATTCAATCGATACAAAAGATTTCATTGTATTTTTCTGTTTGTTCTAACAGCGAATTAATGTCTAGATTCCGTGAAGTATGTTTTTTTTTTTTTGTTATGTTCGTGAAACGGATACAAATGCTACTGCAGCGTGACAAATAAGTAGAAATCATATATCGTTGGGCTTCTCCTAAAAAAGTTCCTAACATTTATTTTTTGTTTGTTTGTTCGAAATCAATTTGGTTTCGCATGCGCTTATCTATTTTAATCAATCAATTCATATAGTTTTTGGGATTTTTTGTTTGTTTGTTGTTTTGTTTTATATAATATAATTAAAATTAAACTTAATACAGCCATTTAAATAATAATTAATTAAATATTTTGCGTATTAAGAGGAGAATATTTCGATTTCCATTGGATGTTTTAGAGCAAAAATATAAAAAAAAGATCTTCTTTTTTCAACAGCACAGTATACATTAGTACAGTTAAAGTTCGTCTTTAATTGCTTACAACTAGTACATTTTTTTGTCAATCTAAGCCTATCCAATTAATCGTTAGCTTGTCCCTTTTTTTCAAATATTTCTGTTGTTGTCATTTTTGATGTTCGATTTATTGAGGTTGATGAAATTATTACAATCTAAAATCGGTGCTTGGTTATATTTTTGAATGGCTTGGCTTGGCTTGGCTTCATGTTCAGGTTATAAAATCATTTAGAAAAACATCTTCTATCAAAATTCCGTTAAATTGAATGTATAAAAATTCAATTTGAAACTATGAATATTTCGGTAGAAAATAGACTCAAAAAATTTGCGTTAAAAATTGATTGTTATGTTCAGCGCCGTATCGTGAAAACAATTTCAGATGGGGCTCAGCCTCGGACATTTTTACCAAATGCTTGTATGGACGGTACGGCGCTGGTTATGTTTAAAAAAGAAAACCTTCAAGACAAATATATTTTCTGATCAAAAATTTGTGAAAAAATCATTGTTTTAAATTTGGCTGCTATTGATTTCGTTCTGGTTGATTGAAATTTAACTATAGTGTTTGCTAATTCCATTCCATTTTTTTTTTTCATTTAATTTTTCGCTTTATTTCGCAGTGGAAGATTATTTTTTCTGAGTTCGGGTTAATTTTTTTTAGTAACATTTCTCTGTACGTGAATGTTTATCGCAATTATTAATCATTAAAACGAGAGAAAAAAATGAAAACGAGTGACATATGTGAATTGCTACCTATCTTGTTTATTGCACACCATTGATAGGTAGATCGTCTAAATGGAATTATTGAATGTTCTACAATGTTAGTGAATCTATTTGTGGAACCAGCGGTTTGTTATGACTCATGTGTTCATCCATGAGATAAGAGCGTTTTTTCATCAGTAGATTTAACATCATTTACTCTACATAAATATTAAAAAATACTGAAAACTTGTACTGTTTATGTATAATATATTATTTTGACACACTCAATAAATATTTATTTGGATCAGTTTTAGTAAAGAAATTAAACTAACGCAATGTGGGGAAATGCAATAGCAGGATCTGGCTTTTTGCTTCTGAACCAAATCAAATGAATTCAAATAAAATCAAATCAAATCAAATCAAATCAAATCAAGTGTATACTTTAATCAAGAATAATTCATTGTCTTGGTGCTTGGTGTCGATTATTCTCCTTACACATTCTGATTGTTTTACAAACATTTCGCATTTTATGTAATTTTCGTTTTGAATTTTTTTTTTCTTTTCATTTTTTCTTCGTCCATTTTAATATTTTTCCCCCAACCTCTCGGTTTCATATGTGCCCATATCGTATGCAATCGATCGTTTCATTTCGTGTTTGTATAAAATTATACACAAAGAAAAATAAAATAAAAATTCTCGGTATAAATCAAAATTAAAGCTTAAAATTAAATTAGTCGATTCGTGCATATCTGGGTACAATGTCTTCTTTAATCCAGAAATCACAATTAGGATAATCTTCGACAGACAGGGCATCTTGGCCAACATCCAACACTCTTCTTCGTGGTTCATATTGCTTGAGCTCACCATGCGACACATAATGATAGAACAGTTGTTGAATGGCCGAGGCATATCGTCGTTGTTGGAAAGTTTTTGGCTCATAACGACCCAGAATTGCTTGAATGTCGGCATCAACGTCGGCAATTTCAAGGTCACCTCCGGTTTGTGTAACCACATAAAATGGTACGCTTTGTTGGGAGCGGGCAATCACAAGCAATGGACATACAGTGCGGATATCGGAGACAATTTTTACCAAGCCTTGGTAGGTTGCGTTATAACGTTTCAGAACTTCATCGGTTAGGCCCTTCTGCCCAATTACGCTTTCTTGAATATGTTTACGAACCAGCTCGGGTGTCCATTGTGTGTATTTATGCAACAGTTTGTCCGAATGACTTTCGTGGGCGGTCGTTCCAATGACCAGCTTCAATGGTTCTGGCTCCTTCAATACATCGATTGGGTTCTTTTGCAGCACTTCACCATCTAGAACTAACCATTCATGACGAGTTTTGTTTTCATCAGCCATCGGCAAGTCTGGCCACACGCGACGCCAAATATCTGGTACATTTTCTACTAGCTCTTCACCTGAAAGTGTGTTCAAGCAGTCACCTGTCGTGCACTCGTACTTGTATTCTTGAGCATTGATGCGTTCATATTCAGCAAGCGGTCGTCCTGGGAATACCTATGGAACGCGAACGATGAAAAACAATACGAACGTATTTAGTTTGAAGAATAATCAAAAGCCTCAGCTGAATCAAATAATCTTAGGACACAACTTACCGCTGAGCCCGATGTTACCCAAGCTCTGGCATACAA